TGGCCCTTGAGCTTTCTCTCTGCAAGTACTATGATGCATTTTATCATAAACCACACACATAAACACTGTAATCCCAAGGCTGTTGCATTAGTCTGAAAGATAAGAGCCTACACCAAGATTGATTGAATACAGGGATCTACGGGAAGGAAGGAATTTAGGATGAATCTTCAAGTGTCTGACTTGGGCAGTTGGCTACAATGAAGATGCTCCTACCTATAGAAGGAAATACTGGCCATTGGGGGCAATGAGAAGAGAAGGTGGTAACTTCACTTTCAAATGTGTTCACTTGAAGAATCTGTACTTTTGCTGACAAATCCAAAAGGTAATTGGGTTATATGGATTTGGACCTCAGCAGGAAGGTCTGGGCTAGAGAAATATTGGTAGCCAATGGCATATATAAAAATAGTTGAAACCTTGGACACAGACAAAATTACTGGGAGTGGCTTCATTTTAAATAACACAGATCCATACAGGGGCCCTAGAAAATGCAGCATATGGGTAGCAGCCAGATGAGATGAGCCCACAGAAGGAAAGTAGGAAGGAGTAGCTATTAGATCTCAGACCAAGAGAAGAAACCAACTGACTAGTGAGCCCTCCCTCCATCAGTGAAGCAAATATAGATACCTCAGTAAAAGATTGCAAATGCTGTCATTTAGGAAAATTGTTGATATGAAAAGAATCTTATTTTTATTAAAAATTGTGATAATTTTTTAAATTACCTAAAACTGGTGATCTGTGTATGCCCTGGGTGCCCTTTAGATATAAAGACTTTATAAATCTTTAGACTTGACCTCCAGAAGTGAAAAGATAAGAGTGTTGTGGAAGCATGCAACATCGTCAGATGGCATAGTCGGACTATAGTCAGATGGCGTAGTCAGACTATAGTCAGATGGCGTAGTCGGACTGTAGTCAGATGGCGTAGTCGGACTGTAGTCAGATGGCATAGCCTCAGAGATGTACAAGGGTGAACGATGATGTGGAAGCAGCAGCAGGATCCAGCAGCAGCACTCTCTCCTCTGGGCCTGTGGAACGTAGAGGCGTGCTAGAGTTAAGTAGCTTCCTCTTAGTGACTGTAAAGGAAGCACTGTCGTCAGGGCAGGGCACCTTTCAGTTAAGGCAAGTGGGTTGAGGACACGTCCTTCCAGGTAGTTGGAGGTGGATGGCAGTTGTTCCCAAAGAGGCCAGTAGAAAAGGATACTTGACTTGGAGTTGGAGAGGTGCCAGAAAAGGTACAGATATGTTTACAGGTTGGATAAGCAGAGAAATCAGTGTTTGTGATGCTGATAAAGAATGACGGAAATGAGAGGCATTACATTAGCTGTTTTCCAGATCGCACGTTGGATGCTAAAGCTGATGTGAGCCTCCGAGGCTTGGAGGCTGGGACTGTGGCCTGCATTTGTCTGACAGTAGTTCTGGGAGGGGAGAAAGTGAAGCACGACCTCAGCTCTAAGGAGCATTATTGCTGCCTGCTGTGTTGCTTTGCACCTGGGCGATTGGCATAAGTAGGGGAATCTCAGAAAGTACACTCCTTGCAGTGGTGAAAGGACAGCCAATACAAGAACACTTGGGCTCTGATGGCAGACTGAAAGGCAAAGGTTAGAGTGGAGAAGGAAAGCCAAACGAGAATCTCCTGCACAAAACAGCTCCAAGACCCTCCCAAGATTCAGGAGGGGAGGGAGAGCAGTGTCTGTGAGCTGCATCGCCTTCATGTTTCTGTGGATGCAGTCTGCTTTCTCATGTTTGGTTCTGTTGCCCTTTCTGTGTGAATTTTTCATGCCTTATTTCAAACAGCATCTAACTCATATTGGGATAATTGCATAGCAGCTGGATGCCATTTTCATTGCAGCATCTGCACATTTTTCTTTGAAATGTTTTGTTCAGTGATATAGTCAAGAGGCTGATATCCAGAATGTGCTCAAGGATAAATGGTTTACTTTAATAGCAGGCAAAAAGAAAAAAATGTAAATGATAAAAACCAGGGCAGGGGTAGGATTGAAATAATTGGTAGTGAGCCCTCTCCCACCAAATTTAAGGATTCGGCCAGATTTGTGTTTACCTTCCCAAAATTGTAATCATTTGAAATAAGAATTCATACAACTGAGAAATGAACTTGATGCAGTAGTAGCTACTTTTATGGTTCGGAGCCAGTGAAATGTCCTCCCTCAGTGCAGAGAGTAACATCTCATGCTTTAACCATTTCGGTACGAGCATCAACTATAGTTGATAGCCACAGATGAACGCGCACAGCCAAGCGTCAACTTTAGCATTAATAACAAAACTTGACTTTTCTAATTTTTCATTTATCAAAATAAAAGTGTGAACATTTAAAAATAATGTACTGAAAACATGTATGTATATGTTACCTATCCTGATTTACATTACAAGTAAAGCTGCCTGTAAAGAAAACGAAGCTTTCAGTGCTTTCAAGCTTTCCTCATCACACAAGAGCAAAATGGACTTGTCGTCAATGCACAGCACAAACTACCGTGCGGACTGTGAGTGCCGGCCGTGGGCGAGGTTTCGTGGCCGGTGAGCGCCGGACCGAAGTGGTTAAGTGATGCAGGAGGAGGAGGAGCAAGAAAGGGCGGAGGGAACCATTACATCATTCTCTTCAAAGGTGCATACAAAATTTGAACCAGGACTCTTGATTGCTTTAGACACATTTAATTCTAAGATCTAGAGCTTCATTTCTGTAGATAAGGACTTGGGAGAACTGAGGAGACAAAAAAATGCAGCAGAATATTCTGCCTCTAGACCTTGAGCTCAATTGATATAAATTATAGGTGTCTTAAATTAGTTGTTAATTTCCTTAAACTGGGGAGGAACTTAGGTCTTTATATTCCAAGCAGTACTTTTTCCTTCCTTGCTATTCTGGGCTAGAGAAAATGAGTTCAGTGATTACTACTGTTGCCCACTTTGTTTTTCCAAAAAGCCCATGCATCATCCTCAATGAAGAATTAAAACAATGGATGATCCCCTGAGGTAAATTTATGTTATAAAACCAATTTTGCCTATGAAAAAAATAAGAGAATTAAATTATTTTGTCCCCTCTCTGCTGACATGACTGCCAAAAAAGAAACTGTTTTGGAGGAGTGTGTGGGCACAAGGAAGAATTAATAATTTACATATTGATAATATGTATTACATACATATTACATACATAATTTATATATTAATAACAGTGATGCTATTATTAATATGTAAATAACCATTCTATGCTGAACAAGAAAGCACACCAGACATTGCTGTTAATTTACTTAGCTGCTATCTAAAATCTTGTTAGATTAGCAGCTGCACCTCAGGAGAATCTATATCTGATTTATTTATTAGTAAAATCCTCCCATATCCCTTTGTAAGTGAATTAGCGCCAGATACCTAAAGGCTGCTAATGCATGGATTTCATTTCCAATGGTTGTAGCCCTTTAAGATTGCTACTAAACACTCAGGCTCCTCTGCAAACACTCCAGCTGGTTCATGGAGGGTTAAGATCAAAGTCTCAGCAGTGGCTTAAGTTCTGAAAGTGTGAGTTCCTAAACTCTTCTGTTCTCTTTTATGGTTCCTAATGTTACAAAATTTGGTGTTACTGTTGCTTTTAAATGCAAATACTCCTGGCATTTGAATTTTTAATGTAAAACTTCCTTTTACTTTAGAAAAGTTTATCTAAAACAAAATTTGTCCTCTCTAAAATAAGGTTTCCTAAAATTTATATGCATTTCCCAACACCCACCCCCAACTCCTAAGAATATTAATTTCCCTTTCTCTCATTTCTTTGTTTCTATTTCTATTCTTTTATTGTTAAATGTTACTGATAGTATCACATGGATTCTTTAGTGTTTAAAGTTAAAAGCAGAACCATCAGTGATTATTAAAAGGACTGGAAAGGATGACCTCCAATGTATCCAACTCAGGCTGCTTCTCCTTGGTCTCTTGTCTTCCAATCTGGAGTAGTTGGGGTGGACGTGGAAGTTAAGACCACTGTGGTCTGAGTGTGGGAATTTGTCTGGTTGAGGACACTTGAGTTGTCTGTTGTGGCTAATTATCTCGACCACTCTACCCTCTCTACACTATGATATTGATCCTAAGGATGTGGAATGAAGGTGAGGCCGTGACCTGAGGAGAGGGGAATACCAATTGCATTGAGGTATAACAAGAATAATAACAAGAAGAGTAGCTTTCATTTATTGAGTCTTTCTGTGTGCCAGGCTTTGGGCCAAATTCCAGACACTCGTTATAAATCCTAATCCTCCCAGCAGCACTGAGCAATACGATGCCTTTTTGACAGATGAGGAAACATGGCCTTATGTTAAGAAGCTTGCCCAAGTTCACACAAACAGTAGGAGCTGAAGCAAGGATACAAACCCGAGCCTGTCTGACTCGAAAGCCTTGCTCTGGAGCTGCTGTCCTGTGCTACAAATTATCTTTATCGGTGGTAGATGTGTACAGATGTGTGCGCTTTCAAGATGGAGAAAAGCATTTGGGCATAAATCCACAGTTTCAACTGTGGCGGGATCCTAATGTGGACAGCAGCCTCACCTTCTATGGTACAGAAAGGGAAGTGTGAGCCAAAAGATGGTGCAGGGATTGGAAAGCTAACCAGAGTCTGCGTAGATCACTGTCTTGGTACCTGCATCTGTGATGTATCATTTAACCTCTGAATTCTTGATTTGTCTCCATACACTAAAGGTTCAATTACCCATGTTAATGGAGGGAAGCCAGACATGAATAACACTAAAGAAGCAGTAATCTAAGGAGCATTTCAATAACAGTTTGCCATTTGTATGTGACTTGTTTAGTATAGATTTATTTTCCTAAATCTGTTTGCTTAGTCATCCCAGAATGGTAATGGATCAGTTATCCCTTGAGATAAGATCAAAGTGGATTATCCATAGGGGAAGGTTAGGCAGTTAATTCTAAAGGAAAAGCTTTTAAATTCATTTAAAAGGATAGCCTGAGACATGCTGACACATTTTCTTTTTTTTTTTTCCTGTGAATTCATTTAGAACGTATGCTGTCAGAAGGATAAGAGATGCCTTCCGAGAAAATAAAAATGTAAGGGATCCTGTAGAAATTCAAACCCTGGTGAATAAAGCCAAAAGAGACCTTGGAATAATTCGTCGACAGGTAAGATGTTTCAATGATGGACTGTTTTTCATTAAGAACTTTAAGCTTTGACATATCCCCCTTTATTAGACATCACTGCTTTTGATGTTTGTGATTGGCAGAACAGGATCATGAAACTCTGTGCCTTTTACTAATACAGACATAGAAAGATAAAGTCTCCCATAATCAAACTCAGGAGAACATAAAGGAAAATATCAGCTTTCCATAATTTCTGGGAAATGCATCTTTCTGAGAAGCCCAGTTCTCATAGTTTACTAAGCGTTGTTGCTTTAAGTATGAGACACTGCAGTATAACTTTTTTTAATCTAAGGCTTTGTAAGATGTATTGCATGTGTATACGTGGACATATTTTGAAGTCTAAATATACCCTCACCTAGAATTTAATCATATTTCAAGATAAATAGAATGTTGCCCTTTTCTTGAAGATACCATCATGGGTGATGAACCTGAATTATGTGGCCACGTGGGAGGTACTGTGGAAGTACAGATGGTGGAAAGCACATCTGCTTGAGTGCTGACCGCATGAAGGACCCTGCAAGGTGTTTTTGTTTACATTTTGTGGAAGTGCCAGAGACCACCTTGATGTGTGCTTGCTTGTCTCTTTCGCATGAGGTGGGTGGAGTGTGTGCAGCAGCATGGCCTCCGGGGTGGTCAGATGTGTCTGTTGTCCACAAGAGTAATTAGAGCATCAAAGTCTAAAGCAGCCTTCTATCGATTGGTTTTCTTGCTATCTAAAAAAATCACCCTTTTTGCTGTTTTTCTTTGATTTAGCAACAGTCACACCATAAGCTCCATTTCTGCTTCCATTCGTTTTTCTCTCTTAATTGCAATAAGTTTGTTTATAAAGTGTGAAGTACTATTTTTATAAGTTCTGCTCTAGGGTTTGGCAAGGGCTTCTTTGGTATCATCAGGAGATGCCAGCCTGGCTGACATGGTATCACAATCTTCCCTGGTATCACAATCTTCCCCTGTCTTTAAACAGAAGTCAAACAGAAAGCAATGTTCAAAACTGTAGTTTTCATTTTATGTCAAGATTAGAAGTCCTGTTATGTTGCCTACATAATGGAACAGTTCCTTCTAGAAGAACATTTCAGAGTCTAATAGCCATCCTTGAGTTCTACAGTTGTCTAGCAATGGAATAACTTTGCCACATTGGGCCACTACGAAATGATCTTTAAAGGCATGAAAAGGTAATAGGGTAGTCAGAAAAAGAAACTGATCTGCATGTTTGCACATACTTTGAGAGTGGCAGATATCTGAGTTGACATTTTGAAAACTCTAGAACACTGGCATTTTCCCATCACCAGTGGTTGAATTTTATAGAATCCTTTAGCAGTGGAACTTAGAAAAACAAGCAGCCCGAGTCCTTATTTTGCATAAACTCAGAAAGATTCAGTTCTTTGGCACTTTCTCTGTGTAGAGGTTGGCAAGCATCTCCAAAACAGGCAGGTTTTGTCTTTAAAGTTATTCAGAGTATACACTGCTTAGAAAAGGGACCTGTAAATCATGTCTGCCACCATTTCTTCTGTGATGTCTAATTGTCTGTGTCACTTCTTGCTTTGAAATGCTAAAACTACCCTTTCAACAACAACAAAAAAAACTAGACTGGCCTCATCCATCAATCCTTCATCCCAGTGAGTCCACGCTGAAGACAGATGCAAACTGAAGACAGATGCAAACGTCACTAGAGCATTGGATGGTGTGCATGGCGAGGGTGCCCTCCCCAGGACAGCCTGGCCACTGCACCTTCCTGATGAGGGAATGCAGGCTGCCTACTGTCAGGCCAGGGCTTTCACAGTACCCTCATAGAACAGCATGTGATCACTTCCTCAGAGGGGCCCTGACAAATGAAAGTGTTCTCATTCTGTCGGAAAGCTACTTTCTCATGTATCAGCATTTGGGAAACTTCTGCTCACTTCCCTTTCGTATCAAGACTGTTTTTGAATCCACTTGCAGCGTTTGCTGTGGTTGGAGTATGAGATGTGGTAGAATCCTGAGCCACCTCTCTATAAGCTGGTATAAGTTGACTTTGGACTACATGCCTAAAATGAGGTGGAGGGCCTGTATTCCTTCACACCGACCCCTGCAATGGCTGATGTAGTAGCCTTCTAAGTTGCCCCGCATCCACCCCAGGGTCTATTCTCCACACACCACCGCCATGGTGATCTCTTCAAAACAAAGAATCAGGCCAGGCGTGGTGGCTTGGTGGCCTATAATCATAGCACTCTGGGAGACTGAGCTGGGAGGATCACTTGAGGCCAGGAGTTCGAGACTAACCTGAGCAAGAACGATATCCCATCTCGAAAAATTTAAAAATTAGCCGGGCGTGGTGGTGCACATCTGTAGTCCCAGCTGTACAGAAGTCTGAGGCAAGAGGATCTCTTGAGCCCAGGAGTTTGAGGTTGCTGTGAGCTATGACAAAGCCACTGCACTCTAGCCCAGGTGACAGAGTGAGACCCTATCAAAAAAAAAAGAATCAGATCAGGCTACCCCCTTACTTAACACCCTCCAGGGGCTTCATAGCACCCCGATTATAAAATCTGAAGTTTTTATGAGGTCCTCAGGGGCCTCCATTGCTCTCTTCTTCCTCACTCACACTGTTCTGTTGACCTTCTTACTGCCCCAGTGCACACCCAGCTTGTTCCCATCTCAGAGCCTTTGCACCTTCTGCCTCAAGGAGAGCCCCTCCCCAGGTTTTCCCGTAGCTGCCTTCCCATTTCCAGCCTGGCCTCTGCTCAGATTTCACCTTCTGCACTGCCTAGAACAGCCACCCTCCCTCGCCCTGTCTTCATTTTCCTTACAGTACTTATCGATACCTAAGATAACATTACTCCTTGCCTTGTCTATTTTCTCCCTCCTCTGTGAGACAGTAAGGACCACAAGGTTGGGATTCTTGCCTGGCCTGTCATCGTCACCTGGTGGGCAAGAGCATGGACTCTGGGGCCAGCCCGCCTGTGTTAGAGTCCTGACTCAGCCTACTAACTAGTGACCCTAAGCAAAGATAGTAACCTCTCAGTGCCTAATGCACACTGTACAGGAGAACAGAGCAGGTGGTGGTGGAGATCAAGTAGGCTAATATATGCACAGCCCCTGGAGTGATGCTGCATACAGTCAGCATTGTGCACACGCTTGTTGTTGTCATTATCCATAAGATCTAGAACAGCCCCACATAGAGTTGACTCCAAATATGTTATTTGTTGACTGAATGAATGCAGGAAGAATTGTCCCCTGAGATTTACCCCTGAGTTAAGTGGTCTAGACCATCAAAATTATGGTGTTTTACTGGCCTCCCAGAACCTCCCTCTTGAAGGAATGAACTATGAAAGAAAACAGAAATCTGATGGGGATCTTGACATGTTACCCTCATGAGCTGTGATACCCTTCATGTCAAGTCTCTCTTCCACTTGAGCATTTGGACCCAACTTCCACCCTACCAGGGTGCACATGGTTCTCAGTGTCAATTTCCATGGATAAGGAAGCCCATGGCCACTCTTCCCAGCTGCCATAAACACATACCATAAGGCAGCACTTACACTGAAATCCTCTAACCTCAAACTCACTTGTTTCCCTGCTCTCTACTTGCTCTTTAGAGTGTGCCTTCCTCAGTCATGTCAATCAGCTGCAATGCTAATGATACCCACCCACCCCATAAGCCTCATAAGATTTTTCAGATTTTAAAGGAAATCACTGAACAAAAATGTGTTTCTGGCTAGAGAAACTGAGGTGCAAGAAATCTGGATGCCTGTCCAAAGCCACGTGGCTGAACATGAGCTCAGGTCTTCTGAGTCCCTACAGCAAACTCAGAAGTTCAAGGGCATGAGCTTCTAAGTCAGTAGAAACTGAAGGATGAGTCATCTCCATTTTGTTCCCAAGATATTTAAGGACCACATAACCATAGCTCAGCCTCTCCTCAGTGGTCATACACTCTTCCTTCACATCCTAAATGTGCAAGATGTTTACTCTTTGTTGTGACAACCCTGAAGGACCCTAGCTAACATCAGCATTCCGGGTTTTTGTTGTTGTTGTTCTTGTTCTTGTTGTTGTTTGTGGGCACCATCATGCCGGCTAACTTTTTCTATTTTTGGTAGAGACAGTATCTTCCTCTTTTTCAGGCTGGTCTTGAACTCTTGACCTCAACTGATCCTCCTGCCTCAGCTTCCCAGAGTGCTGGGATTACAGGTGTGAGCCACCACACCCAGCCTACATCTGCATTGCTTTCACACAGTTGCTAAGGGTCACGCTCATCTCAAGGAGAGGCAGGTGGCTTTTCTTTTGTGATGAGCAAGTCAGCCTCCTTTTGCCTATTCTACATGAATGATTATGGACCAGCCAATAAAAGCTAAACATACTCTTGTTCTTTCCTTACCATTCTTGGAGTACGATCCAGTCTGTCAGTCACAAATCTCTTTCCAGCTATATGCATCATATGCACTCAGTAAACTGCCGTTATTTCAGTGTAAGATAATTTTGAAAAGACAGATTGACCTTGGCAGCTCTTATGGATTCATCCTCTCTGTTGAAAGCAAGTTCTGGACTAGCGCCCACTAAATCTAGCTTCTCTGTCTCCTTCCCAGGTGGGATCAGAAAGATTGGAGAGAATTTTTGTGTCCATGCCAGCTGGAACCAGAAAAGGGGGACAAAGCTGGGCTGTGTGCAGTCGGGCAGACAGCTCTCGAACAATCTGGGCAGCAAGGAATTGTGGAAGGATTTCTGTGTCAGACAATAAGCAGGGCTTCTTCAGTGTCTCACATCAGAAAGATAAGCAAGAAAATCAGCCAGATTTTGCTTTTTTCTTTGTTTTCTGTTCCATTTTGTTATTCTAAAGGTAGTCCTTCTGATTCTTACCTGTAGGGCACTAGTCAGGATAACTATTAGTTAACCACTCTGCAGTTTACCATGCCCCTTTGCTTTTTAAACAACCATAGTGGACCTTGTTTTGTGTCAACTCCCGGTGCACTAGCACCTTGCTACTCTGAGTGTCTTCTACAGGCCTTCAGCTC